TGTCCAATGGCTAGATGAAATAAAAAATCACAAAGGTGTGAATATGATAAATTGGTAATGTGTCCAGTGTGCCTCCTGCCTGAATGCTTGAATTATCTCCACCTAACCGTGTCCCTAAAAGGGATATACAGGAGCAGAAGATGGAAGGATGGTGGCTCGGTGGTTAGCACTGTTGCTTCACAATTAAGAGGTCTTGGCTTTAAATCTCTTTGCGCCTTGTATTTGCCTGTTCTCACCTTGTTCTGACTTTTCTCTCACAATATCAAACACATACAGCTTGAAACGGGTCTCTACTTTCAACCCAATCAAACCTTATTGACCCGAAATCGCTTCAGTAAACGTACATTTTAAAAGTTGGCATCTTGCAGACAGACCTGAACAAGGATGAATTTAGACATTTGACAAATTACCATCATGATGTAGTTATTTCGGCATCATCTTGATCCGACATAGTGAGTGGGTTCAGCAGTTCAGTTACTCATGTGTATAAACACAAATGCTCTTGCGGTCATATAATAACCACTTGGCATTACTGTTATGAGATGAGGTAAGATTGGTAATTTGGAAAGTTCCCTATACATTTTTGAGGACATTGCAAGGTTTTTTTTTCACAATCTTGAACAGTGCCATGCTGCCACCTATTATTTTGAAGCATGTGGTCAGGAATTACACACTGCTCCTATAAGCCCTGCATCCAGTACCCTGACCTCAATGCACTTATTTTACATTACATTCCTGCATTGGCGTTGAACGTTGGCATTTGTTGTTGGGAGATGTAGAATCAATAATAATAATTTCTAGGGATATTGGGATACTATATTTGCTGGTTGTGCAGGATGAATGTCACTGTATGTGTTAGACCTGTGATGTCCTTGTAACCTGTCCCTGCCTTTTTCCAATGCATGGTGGGACACACTATTTCTCACACAAAATTAAATACGTAATAGTGCATCAGTACACCCACTGCACTTGACCTTTCCACCTGTTCAGTTCATTGGACACTGAACAATGTGAGTCAACATAAAATAAATGAACCTTTACTTTTGATGATTATTTTTTAACTCTGTAAAGTGGAAAAAATAATTGTATTACTACTGTTACAACTACTGTTACAATTACAGTGATATGTGTTCAGAGGTCTGGGTTTGGGAAACATACTGTCCAACATGACATAGTGTAGGTGGCAGTGTAGTGCATAACAAGTACAAGTTTCCACTGCACTGTAAAAAACTATATGTATATGTTTACTTTTCATTTTCATCAGTAGACCTGGAACTAGTAGAGTCAATTTCCATTACCATTAGGCAGGTATTAGCATGACTATATCTTAGCTCTGCTTTACTCCTCACACTGAGAGAGGAAGTAGCATGTGAGGAAATGACAGTGAAGAAGAGCTGAGTAAAAGTGACCATGAAGGAGGCTAAAAGCATTTTCCTTTTTTTTCCGCCCACTCCTTGTCTTCCTACTTTAGGCCTTGGGGAGATAATGAGGGCCTTGGCTTTGTAAACATTATTTCTGGCATATTGCAGCTGCCATCAGCTTATTTATGGCCTGAATTTTAATAATCTGGGAGCTAATATGCTTCAGAGAGAAGGAAAACACACAGTAAAGCCTGAGCACAGCCAAACATTGCTTTTCTACCCTCAGTAAGGAGGCCACTCAACAGGAACATCAAACGCTCTCTCTCCCGTGCCTGGCCCACGTTAATTGTACATCTATTGTTCCCACATAGGTCCCTGGGAACCAAAGAAGGAGAAAATTGGCAAAGAAAGGAGAGAGACAGAGAGAGCGAGAGAGAGAGAGAGAGAGTAATGAGGCTGAAGCTGAATAAATACGTTCTAAAACAATATCAGACTGACAAAGGTTTTGATGCCTTCCCCTGGGCTCTCTATTGCCCGTATCCCCATTACTCACCTTAATGACAAAAGCTACATTATTAGAACAGGCGTGTTCTACACATATGCACATACAGTAGTACACCTCATGCATACAGTAAGTGGCCTAGGAAGACCTGTCCCTACCAGGCCAGAGAATATTTATGTGGAGGTGCCCTGTGCTCTGTGAATGCGAGTGAATTCTGACCAGAATACATAATGAACCTCACTCTTTTTGTACACTGGAAAGGAAAATAAGAGGAAGATGTTATGATTTAACATGAAGTCTGACTGTTTCATTTTGAGGTTGGTCTGTTCCATTCATGTAGAGACATTGTCAATAAATTCAGTTTTTCAGTTTTGTCTTTTGCGTTAATTTGAACCCTCACAAGAAATGCACAATACAACTTAAATACATAAAGCGGAATCCAACTCAACAATTTTACATATCAAAGTCAAGTCTTGGGGAGCACTACTGCACATGTGAAAAAGTTGTATAAATCATTTTGTGGCTGCAGAGGGAACTGCGCGAAGTGATGTCACTTGAGTCAGCACTGGATGAGGCTGAAGACTACAAGCTTGAATGCATAAATCTGTTGGTTGAGTTAGAAAGAGTCGAAAATACCAGACATTTCTAGCTCATTCCTTTTCTCTGCTTGAGGCTCACAGCTCAAGGCTACAATAATGGCTACTAGCATAACACACCCGAATCTCTGACTATCCATCTTAAGTCTGAGAATGTTATAGGAATACAAAACCATGGCCTTACATGGTACGTTTTCTCAAGAACCAAATTTGATTTGCTCAATTAAAATTAAATCTAAAAAAAAAGAAATCAGTTTTATGATCTGACAACGCCAAGCTTTGGTTTAGGCACAAACACAACTTGTATAGGATTAGGAAAAGAAGACTTTTGGGGGTAAAAAAGTACTTAGTTAAGCTTTGAAAATCAATGAAAATCATGGTTTTGCTTACAATTACTACTTTGTTAAGGACCCTTGTTATGGTTAGAAACGTGTTCATATTTATCATTTCTCAAGGTAAACAAATGTCATTTCTGGGCATTTGCTGTAACGACTGATGCTGATTACAGTATCAATGTATATATTTATTGCCTCAGGAGAAATTGAATTGCATTATTGAACTAGTTTATAATCACAGGAAATTCAAAGATTAACTTTGCATGTCTGCACTCGAATAACATCACCACTGGAATAAATCCCCAAACATTAGGCAGACAGTAATCGTATCAGAGCCATAGCGCCATGACTATGAATGTAACAGTATTGCTTAAACACATCAAAGCAGTACAGGAAGCAGATACGCACACATAAGATGTAATTCGGTGCTGTTCAACTAAGGAGCAACATGAGGTGCAAGTACTTTGCGAAAAGACAAGCCAGTAAACACACAGCTGCTTGTCTCCCGTTCTGCCACGCAGGCTGTGAGAGAACAACCTAACAGGCAGTCGACAGCAGGACCAAGGTGACGGCAAGTTTAAAGGGCAGGGTTCAGAAAAGTAACTGACCCCGTCCTGCCTCACACACTCCCTAGCTGTACATATTTACGAGGTGTAATTTTTATGTGAGCGCCAGGCAACAACAGGTTTAAGAGGGCCAGTGTAACCTTCCTGGGGCCCGGGGTGACCTGTACCCTGGCTACAATAGTTTCCCTGGGCCACAATTAGGACCAGGGCTTCACTGAGTCACCCCAGCGTCATGCTTCCATGGAGCCTCAATCTGGCCCCAACTCTCCCCCTCTCCCACTTAGTAGCTGGCTTTGAAACAGTCATAGCTCTCCCTTCTCACCAGGCAAGTGAACAGTTCATACAAACCAAATGCCAACATACAGCAACTAAACACTTTCAACAGCATATGGTAAGAAAGAAAAAGGGAGATTAAAGTAGATCTTTTGAATTTCCACTGAGCTGAAAAAACAAAAAAGTAAGATGAGAAGAAATAAATCCATATTTCTCTCTCCTCCTCTCACTGTCCCTTTCTCCATTTCTATCTCTCTGGCTTGGTGAGTGGTGACAGTTGCCGCAATGCCCTGCGACACAGTGAATATGCAGCAGGGGCTCACTGGGTCTGGCCACACAGACTTGTCATCACCGTTCAGCATCAAACCCCAAACTACCAATTAACTCCTGAGCCCACCCCCACCTGCCTGAGGGCACAATGACCTGCCCCCCTTCAGTCTACTCCATTCCACACAGCACTAACCCCCACTGCCCCTCAACCCCACTCTATACTCTCTAAACATGCCCCATGAGATGCCGCATGGCTCTATGACATACAGATGCTCAGAGATATTCTTCCCCATCTGTGTGTGTCTCTGTCCGTCTGTCCGACCCCTGAACTTTACAAAAGAGGATAAAGTCAGTTTGTCTGTGTTCGTTCCAGGCACAGCTCAGTATGGCTGTAACAATTTATCATTTGGGGGTAACAGAGAGAGACATACTGGTTTTGGCACTGCGGCGTAGTGAGCAGGCAGTCTCCAGCACAGTGGCTATAGCTACTATAGCACATGAATGGGTCAAGTTTTTCATTCAGCTTGTGTGCAAAAAAAGGATATATTTGTCAAAATCTCTTTTATCGTAATTTCTCAGTTACCACTATTGAATGTACTGGTAACTAAGAAATCGTCTATACTATGGATGATGAATTACTGGGGATCCCCTGTCCATCCACACATGCATGCATGAACACAAAGCACTCTAAACATAGTAAATAAATTCAAATCAGTCAAGATACTCATAGTGTCTGGTGAAAAGCTGTGTTGTAGTACACCTATAGAACACCAGACTGTAGTGTGAGCAATACAGTGTTCATCTAGGTTATTTCTTTACAGTGGGTGCCTTTTTTTGCTTCATGTGCTACTGAGTAACTTTTATAGGAAAGAACAGAGCCCCACGTTTCATCTTATCAGGGGTTACTGTTATAAAGGGGCACTGTCTGCATGTTTGACTAGCACCCTTTCTACATAGTGTAAACCAAATTCTCACACAAACTGAAAAGTTATTGAAATCTCTGGAGTAACTGCAGTTTAATGCTGAAAGAAATTTATTGAAAGTCTTGCCAGGGTGGATGGAACAGAGCAGGACTGTGCTAAAACTGTTCAGGACTGTTAGATGGAGTCCCCTGAGTTCACCGACTCATCCTCCAAATGTAAAAACGGCAGGGCGTCACGAGGGATAGTGTACTTGGCCATGTTTGGAAGCCCAAACACTACGCAGCAGCTCAGGGCACTGCGGAAAATCTCCATGTCACAGGCCTCAGACCACTCATTAGTTGTTGCGTCGTAGTACTCAACGTTATAGGAGGTGGTGAAGCCGTTGAAGCCCCCGACAACAAAGAGCTGATCCTCGATCACTTCGATGCCAAAGTTGCTGCGGGTGGTTAACATGGAGGACACTGCGTGCCAGGTGTTGGTCTGGGGATTGTAAGCCTCAACGCTGCGCAGACGAGTATTGCCATCAAAGCCACCAACCTATGAGAGGAAAAGTAAGATAAAGGGTCAAGTGTTTAAAAGGATACAGAACAAGTTTATCAAACACAGTTGCAAGAAAGAGCACCTGCCTTCAATGTGTCTCTGACTTTTAGTACATATAAAGTAGAAAGCAGTTTGAATAATGAATGAATGGTGGATTACAGGGTTCTATTGTGTTTTTTGTCCCTTCTTGTCCTACTTGTAAATACAGATCAATCAACCTTATGGGTCTTTGAAGGCTAAAGCAGCCAGTATACTCCATCAGAATCTTTTGTGGACAATGCGTATGAACTAGCTCTGTTCGAGCACAACCCACAACCCACAATACACTAAGTTATATTTTTGGCCATACTAGCAGCATGGCTCTGTGGATGGCAATGTCTATCTGTAGGTTGGTTTGTCCACCACTTTGATCTATAATAAAATATCTCATCAACTATTGGATGGATTGTCAATGAAATTACCAGACTCCCAGAGTGCATTGTAATGACCATTGCAAATGTTGACATTCTAATACACTAAACTAAGATGGTGAACATGGTAGACAATATACCTGCTAAACATCAGCATGTTATCATTGCCACTGTGAGCAAACTAGCATGCTGACGTTAGCATTTAGCTCAACCAGTTTAAAATAACTTCAAACTGTTTGTGTGTTGTATGAGTTTAAGCTGCATTTCATGTACTTACAGCATAGACATTGTCTGCATATGCAATGACACCAATTCCGCTGCGCCGGCTGTTCATGGGGGTGATCATTGTCCACTGGTTGGTCTCTGGGCTATAATACTCACACGTTTGCAGGCACTCATTCCCATTGAAACCACCACAAATGTAAACCTGGGGAGAAAAGGAGGGTCTTTAAGTAATGTAGCACTTATCTTGGCTTCACCTGGTGACTATGTTTACTGTATTAATGCAAATAATAAAGAAATATAGAAATAATGAGTGAATTACAGCTGAGACACAACATGTAGTGAAGATTCCAATAATAGTCCAACCGAAAAATAAATTGGACTGATAAATTAGCTGATATTATCTGTCAATGTTGCATTTTCATTGGCTGATAACAATACAGTACAGTGACGCAGAATATAATGTATGTTTGAGGTCATTCCAAAACAGTCACCATTACATAGTTTGTTAGAGAGCACTTACAAGTCTATTTTTCAATTGCAAAATGTCACAATCTTACTCACTATTCTTTACTATCCATATTTAAGATATCCTTTAAAAAAATCTTTATGCTGCATGTTAATGTAAAAAATGAATAATGGCATATACTGTATATTGTTAGTTTTTTAACTTTCAAATATCAATATTGGCATTGGCCTAAAAAAGCCAGTTTGAATTGGGGTCTCATACTGTATATTACCGTGCAAATATTTTTTTCAAATTGTAATTTTTTTTATTGTTGTTAATAAGTTATATTTATTCTTGAGGTAAGCAATTTTGGAGAAATCCTAAACCATGTTATAAATAACATCACAACAACCGCGTATAATGTCTGGAATAACAAGTCAGTGATGCGTGGCTCATTTAGATCTACTTTGTTTGTTTCCCATTTACAGAGCCAGGTCTGTGTACAACCACCGGATTGTTTTCTCAACACATGCACACACAGTGGAAAGCTTGATTGATTTCTCTCTCTCTCTGCTTACACCATCCCTACACAAATAAACCAGTGTACAGTAATGCAACACACATCTCTTAACACTTCCGTACATTTAGATATATAGGTTGCTAAAGACCTTTAGTCTGACCCTAATCTTGCATAGTCAGAACTATCTCCACACTTTGTTTTAGTGCTGTGCCAATGCTGGTGATAGGCCTGGCTGGACATATTATTCTGGTACATGGCTTGTTTGCATGACTTTAAACCAATCACAATTTTCTTGGGCGGTGCTAAACCCAGAATGCAGCGTTCTTGCAAAATTGCGATTGCAAAAGAAGATTGTGGAAGGGTAGGAGAAGTCCAAGGATTCTTACAGGGTTGTTTCAAACTGGTAGAAAGTCAAATTAGCAATATTTCAGTGACCATCATATTACTCTGTGTTACTCTGAATTCTTTCCCAGCTGTTCTTTCACTTCACCCACCTTGTTGCGGAGTGTTGTGCTGCTGGAGTCGCTCCTCTGCTCATGCATGGGTGCAATAAGACTCCACTGGTTGGTCTCGGGCTTGTAGCGCTCTGCAGTGCTGAGTCGTGTGTGTCCATCAAAACCTCCCATTGCATAGATGCATCCACTCAGCACAGTAATGCTCACATAGCAGCGGCGACAGTGCATGGGTGCTACATCATGCCAAGTGTAGGTGCTTGGGTCAAACTTGCGCACGCTGTTGAAATGTTCCACTCTGTCAAAACCACCAACACAGTAGACATACCCATTGAGGAAGGCAGTGCCGTGATAGGCACGAGGACGCTCCCAATTGTTTGTCACACTGATCCAGCGGTCAGCACGAATATCATATGCCTCAATGCCATTAGTGGGATCACCGCCACTCCAGCCCCCAACGGCCAACAGGATGGCATTAGGCAGGCGAGGGCGGGCGAGAGGGTTACAGACCCCAGACAACGAGCGGCTGTTTGTGAAGTTTATGTTTTTAAGGACATCTTGGGCTATGTTACTGCACTCAGGGCTGTTCTTCACCAGCTCATTGGACATCACCTTCATCCTGATATAGTCTTCATTTGTCAAGGCCAGCCGGACCTACACAGAGAGAACAGGACAGAATATTTGAATTTAACATAATGGACTGTAGTACTTCAGTCCAGACCTCTGTTGCTTTCTTATGATTATTTTAACTGAGACTCATGGTTGGTTTCACCACCTGCTCAACAACACAGTATGCAGTATTACTGCCATTTTTCTTTTTACTTGGTAAGAGGTACAATGGGATAATGTTTAATCTAACTGTCTGCTTGAACACCGGCACTCTCCCTCCTCCTGCCTCCTAGGTCTGTGACCCTGTTAACTGGTGCCTTTCAGCCCAATATATTAACTAACTTGATTATTAGTTAATAGGGTCACTTGTTAAACCGAAACAATAGCTAGCTGCGGGACGCTAACATCACAGCTCCAGCAAATTGGGATAATTACCGGACTAGTCTGCATTTTCTACTACAAGACTGCTGGGGTTTCCAGCAGTCCAGTTTATGTTCTTGGCCAGTTTTTCCAGGCATTTCCAGTGGTATTGTATTTCTAGGCTGTGAATTGAGGGATATTGTGTAGCACTGCATTTTAGACAGCGCTTCTGTTCTGTTCAGTCCCTTCAGCCTAGTTGCTCTGGGATGCATTTCCCTCTTAAAAACCAAAGAGTGAACATGATGTGATGATGTGACATCACGTAGGGTTGTAGCAGTGGCTTGCTATCTCCTGTGGTTGGCTTGTCAACAGTGCGGTATTTCATTATTGCGGTTATCGCGACATCCAAAACATATCGCCAATAAATTGTGTGATATGTTTTTGTTATTGTTAACAAATTCCTTAAAAAGTTCAAAACAAACAATGTGTTTGCATGTCTCTCAAAGCGTTACGACTTTCCCGGTCCATTTGTTCCCATTGAAGACATAATTCTTAAAAAAAACATTCCAAGAACTTTTACCTAACAAAAGGCTTAATAATTTCAGCAGGGCTCTGTAGTTTTTAACAAATGTTACTAAAAAGAGGGGAGTTTTGTCACCCAGTGGACAGTGTGGCTCACTGACATGTTTTTAATAGTTTTTGGACAACAATGTAAATCTGTGACACAAAGGAATAAGCTATATCAGACTTTGGATACACAGACAATACTTGATAGTAGGATTAATTTAATTTGTTGACAGTAAGAACAATATGGAGCATGACCAGTCTTCTGTCTTCTGATGATGCAGTTGTCAAAACTGTCCAATCAATGAGTCAGTTGTCCATATGACTTCAAGCTTACAACTCTCTGTTTGTTTGTTATAAGTCAGCCTGAACAAGAACCAGACCAGAACTAAAAGGCAACAATGTGTTTTGTAATGTTGTAGTGTCATTTTTTCCCCCCATCTGGACGAAACTAATGGAACGACAAGTGTGCACCCTTAAACTAGACATGGTTTTGGAATTGACATGGCCTTATGTTAATGATTATTTTTGCAGTCAGGATAAAACCGTCAGCTGAATGTTGAAGCTGTAATTATAAACTAAATGTAGAGACACAAACTTATCATACCTTAGGGAAGAGTACACCTATGTGTTCTTTTCGTTCGTCGGGTATGTGGGCGATCCAGTGAATGATGGCCTCAAACACAGCAGTCTCCTGTTTCACATTGAGCTCATCTCTACCAAGGATGTCAGCGAGTTCCTGCGCAGAAAAATTAAAGAACTCCTCGCAAGAAACAACCTCCTCAAAGTGATCAATGATATAGCGGTAGGCCTTGCACTGAAGTTCAGGGGACAAGCATATGTTGGTGAGATGCCAGATGCCGATGCAGTTCTTTGGGCAGAGATGCTCCCCCAGGAAGTCGCAGCAGGCTTCTACAACGTCCATTACATTGAGCTGATCGGCTGCGAGCAGCAGCTCCTGTGCGTTATCCTCCGTCACAGAAACAGAGCCGGCGTAAGCAAACTCTATGATTTGCTGCATCATTTCAGGAGACAGGCCGGGTATGTCAAACACCTTTTTGTCTGGGGTTGACCAGCGTTTGAAGAGAGCTCTGTCAGGTCAGGATGAAGACACAGCAGAGTATTGAAAGTAAACAGCAACATTTTCTTCACATCTTCACACTGATAGCAGTAAAAATAACTTCTTGTAGCACATTTCAAAACAGATGTGACAATGTGAAGGTTCTTTTCCAATCAATACAACTCAGTTACTTATTGCGATTGGTATGTTTCTCAGACTTCATTAACTGATCATTAATTTGCTATTATTGGGGTTTTCTGCTCATTTGATAAATATAAATTAATCACTTCCTTCCTGTCAGATGACCAACTCACCGGAAGTACGGGCTGCATTTACAGAGGATGACCTTGTGGATCTGAAATTCAACATCTTCAACTTTGATGACTGCGTCACAAAAGTCTCCCTCCAGACGGAGATCATTAAACACTGAGCTTGGCTTGTGTGAAGATGTGCCTTGGTCACTCATCTTGATTTTTAAAATATGAGAGCTTTTTCCTCTGTCTTTTTGGTTTTGGTTTGTCTCAGGAGTCTCAACAGGTTTGTTCAACAAACAGAGAATGTGAATAGCTTATACTTCATGATGGGATTCTAGAATGGATTCTTATTATGTCATAATGACAAGTAAACTGACATCCAATTGAACCTGTAGCTTAATATTATTATTTACATAAAAGTTGCATTACTTCTTTCTCGAAGATCTAAATTGTTATAAACTAATTTTCCTTGCAAGAAAATGCATAATATTTAACAGGATCCGAGAAAAAAAAAAACCCATCTGTAACGCAACAGAATAGAGAGATAATTAGTGTACTTTCCATGATCTTTGTGACTTTGTTCAAAGAGGATGTGGCAAAATGGACTGAAAAGCTTCAGATGCCCTTTTACAATTCACTCTATGAATGATTTGTATGTAATATTAGTCTTTAGTGCATATATCTGTGTAAAATGCATCTTTCTATGATTGTGCGTGTTGATGATTAATTTCTCTTCTCTTTTTTTATTTTGCTCAGGCCTGTGGCAAAAAATACATTATAATTAATGTGAAAAATGATGACTCTGTTGGACTATTTCTTGATACAGTTTAGTTTTTATGTAACTTCCAATGCACAAGTCCAATAATAGCTAGTTCTTTCAACCAAATAAAACATTGTTGGCTACAGTTTCTCACCATCATTAAACACTGAGCTTGGCTTGGGTGAAGATGTGCCTTGGTCACTCATCTTGATTTCTAAAATATAGGAGCTTTTTCCTCTGTTCTTTTGGTTTCGTCAGAATAAGATCTAGATTGTTTTTAATACAAGAAAAGTCCAAGCCAAAGCCTTCATTTCATTAACTAATATTTGGACATTAAAAGAAAACCTAAAGTGTGCCACATTTAACCATTTATGTTGGCGCTTCAGACAACTCATATTCAAAATGGTGTTGTAGAATAAGTAGAAGGCCACATTTGGTCAGTATATATTAAAAGTTGACAAGTTTAGAACTAAATCATAAACATGAAAAAAAAAAAAAACACACCTAACTAACACAGAAATACACAAATACACCCAATTGCACACACATTTCCCCAAACTAGCTAATACCTAATTAGCTAGTTAGCCTTTGGTTGAGTGAGTACAGTAAAGAAAGAGAAGCTCAGTTGAATACATTTTCCTGTGACAGAGAGGAGATGTGTGCGACAGTGAATAGTGGGACAGAGCATTGTGTTGATGAATGTCTAAATACAGCAGCTACTGATTAAACAGTATCTGAGAAGGTGCTCATAGGCCCAACCCCAATCTCAACCCTAAAGCCTAAGCACTGAATCCTCACTGATTTAGCTGAAATCTCCTAGTTAAGTGCTTGAGTGTGAGAGGCTGCAAGGGCCCGAAATAATATAAATAGGAATGGGAAAGCGCTTTGGGACATCTCCATGACCTCTTTTAAAATCGCTTCTCAAAATGTATCTGAAAAAAAGCATTGTATTCACCCTTTTACGGCCAACATATCTTATCTGTTTTATTAGTAGTATTTGTCTTCTATTGTTTGGGGTTTAAGTTCATTTTATTTCTGTATTATTTTAATTGCCTGATTTATTTGCCTCAGTCCTGAAATGTCCTGGTTCAGTCATGTAAAGCACTTTATAACATTGCTTTTAAAAAGCATTGTTTAATTAAAGTTTAGTATTATATCATTATATCACGTTACCTTGGTGATGCCAAAATGTCACGTAGCCCACAGTTGTAGGTTTGGAACATTTTTATTTTATGTTTTTCACTTGTACGGCCAAGGCACTTAAGGGACCCTCTGCCTTTTTTTAATGTACGAGCAATAATTATAGAATAATCAATTTACTAGTTTTTGTGTTTTCCAATTGTAATAACTTTGTTAATCCCTTAATTTACATCTAGGTTGACATTAAACATAAGTCATCCAAATTATACAACAAAATATCTTCACATGATTTATTTTGTCATACCGTTTGTCTGAGCCTTCCAAAACTGTCACAAATCACTAATGTGTCTCCAATGGCTCCTGCTCTCTCCGTGTCTGTTTTTTGCCTTTTATTGGCCCTCTTTCTCTCTTTGTTATCAGGCAATTATTATAAAATTTCAAGCAACAAATCACACAAAAGTAGAAAATAACATTTCAAATGAAAAATGATGACAAAATGGTAATGAAAATGATGACGTTAGTAAGTTTTGAATTTCAAATAAAATAAGTTGCTACTGGTGAAGTAGTAAGGAAGGAGAAATGCAAACTGTTTTATATTAAATTTTATGTATCCAACACTAGTAGTATGAATCAATATTTTTTTCGTCTGTAATGTACTTTAAATTCCCACTAGCTGAGAGTTAGCTGGGGCTCTCTACACTGTTTCTGTGAAATCATCAGCCTTGACTGCTGGGAGGAGAATGTTTGACCAAAAGTATCATGAGCAAACGGCTCATTCTGTAAGACTGCAGGGCTCTGATGTCCCACAGGGGACGTTCAGCATGGACATGTCACATGGAGGAGGATGACACACTACCATAGCCGCAGTACTGGCCGCAGCTCCTATATCCCTCCATCCCCCATCACCCAAGAGGTCACCCCCTCAGCAATCAGCAATCCCTTTCACCTTCTGTGTGGCCCTAATTACAGGATCTCTGGGCTCAGAGAAATGCTTCCTCACTGAGCCATGACTTCTCAGTCCTACTGCAATTCTGATATTTCACACATCGGCAAACTTATATGGATACAGATGGCTGTGTGTGTGAAACATGTTTGCAGTAAGTGTATGCATCCACTGCTTCCATTTATTGGAGAGTGTCTTTAGGAGAATCAAGCCTAGTGAGACTGGTGTAAAATGGCATTGATGAGAAAGAGTGAGGTCCTTTTTATGTAATACATTAGCCAAGCTTACAGTATCCGTATATACTCAGACAAAATGGGGGAACAAGAGGAGCACTTGAAAGAGCATGCTGTAAACAGCTTTAAGACATATGAAATTAATTAAATTCTGCTACAAATGTAAAATTTGTTCTTGCAGCCCATGTGAACAAAAGCGGTAGTGTTTCCACTGCCTTGTTTAATTGACTTCAAGGCGGAATACAACTAAATGGTGGTAGGCATTAAGAATAAGCACATAGCAATAGCTATCTTCTTGCTGATGGTCTTGTTTGCTTATTTAGGTCATATAGAGGCATCAGTATTATATTTAGACTGTTTCATAATCAGTTAAAAACTTGTTGAACTTGTAGAAGGTTTAAAAATGTTAAACTTTTTTTTATTTTTTAAAATTATATTACCAAATTGACAAAGACTATTACACACATTGTATGATAGTATGATCGCCTGACTGCATGTGTTTCTTGCCCTGTCCTGTTATTACTGTTTGACTAATGATGACTAAAATTAGATAAATATGTTAAAAGATGCATAAACTGGAATTATCCTGTACATCTAATTGTGTTTCTTGACTCTTGCAGTAATGGTGACTTTTCCCTGCCTGATATTTATTGCCTTTTATCTTCCCTTCAAACCTGTCTGTGTGATTCACAGGAGACGTGTTGGGTAAGTTGTTCACAGTACAATGGTGAGATGAGGTTTGTTTAGCTTTGTGACATGAGGCACTTCCCAGTCTGCTACACTGTATGGCTTCCTGTGACACAAAGTTACATCAGTCATCCAAAAGTAACTCACTGGAGGTGATACATAAGGCAGAATCTTTTAGAGGGAAAAATGTGCAGATGGCATATTGTGATGCTGTAAGATTATCAGAGCAATGCCAAGAGCACACAGTTGCCCATTCTACTCTGAAAAGGCTTATTTTGAGAAGACCAAGGTCACTGTAATCTCAGCTGCCCAGCCTCTATCATTTACCATCTGTGGGAGTTGAACCGGAGAAAGGTGACGAGGCATTTTATCAAATTTGGACACCTCCGCTGACAGTACAACAATGGAATCCAGATTGTACTGTGGACACATGATATCTACAGCGTGAGCTTTCACTTTACGCATCTCGGTTCATCTCATCCTAGTTCCACAAATTACCTGACGGCTCTCCCGCAATCACCGAGAGGGTCAAAGGGCACCTCCTCATGCTTGTCACTCACAGCAGTGTCCAATTTGAACTGAACTGCCCATATAGCTTGGTCCAAGTTGAGAGAGTGAGAAAAAACAACACATACTGGCTAAAAAGGGAAACAGGAAGTTAGATACAATAGAGGAGACCTTTGATCCATGATGAGGGGGAAGACTTCCCCTCTGGGTGCAAACTATTAATGTGAAAGTGACTCTGCCCATTGCACATTTGTTACAGCGAATAATGGGCCTAAAATTAGCACACAATGGCAGGCAGACGGGCGACACTTGCACCCAGCCATGCGCAGGAAGGGAGCGGGAGGTAATTGTATAAAGATGAGTGATTTGTTGGGGTCGGGGCTGGTCAGAAGCGCCGGCCGGTCGGCATCTAAGGGCAAAGGAGGAGAAGGGAGATAGAAGTTGAGACGACAGAC